ATATGACACAATCTATGGATGAAACGGGGTTTCCCAGGGTGTTCCTCATCCGAATGGTGGCACTTTGTGTCACCGGGTGTTTTCGCTCCATGTGATGTGCTGATGGGGTTGAACGTCTTTATCTTCAATAATAGAGATTGTGTCAACAATTACTCACAGCTGTTTTGTGTGGCTTGTGTGGATAGCATAATCAATAAAGCAATTTACGTTTATTTTAAATAACAAGGGCACAAACAACGTGGGCACAAACAACGTGGGCACAAACAATGTGGGCACAAACAACGTGGGCACAAACAATGTGGGCACAAACAATGTGGGCACAAACAATGTGGGCACAAACAACGTGGGCACAAACAATGTGGGCACAAGCAACGTGGGCACAAACAATGTGGACACAAACAATGTGGGCACAAACAACGTGGGCACAAACAATGTGGGCACAAACAATATGGACACAAACAATGTGGGCACAAACAATGTGGGCACAAACAATATGGACACAAACAATGTGGGCACAAACAACGTGGGCACAAACAATGTGGGCACAAACAATGTGGGCACAAACAATGTGGGCACAAACAATGTGGGCACAAGCAACGTGGGCACAAACAATGTGGGCACAAACAATGTGGGCACAAACAATGTGGGCACAAGCAACGTGGGCACAAACAATGTGGGCACAAACAATGTGGGCACAAACAACGTGGGCACAAACAATGTGGGCACAAACAATGTGGGCACAAACAATGTGGGCACAAACAATGTGGGCACAAACAATGTGGGCACAAAAAAAGGTGGGCACAAACAATGTGGGCACAAACAATGTGGGCACAAACAATGTGGACACAAACAATGTGGGCACAAACAATGTGGGCACAAACAATGTGGGGGCATACAATGTGGGCACAAACAACGTGGGCACAAACAACGTGGGCACAAACAACGTGGGCACAAACAACGTGGGCACAAACAACGTGGGCACAAACAACGTGGGCACAAACAACGTGGCACAAACAACGTGGCACAAACAATGTGGGCACAAACAACGTGGGCACAAACAACGTGGGCACAAACAACGTGGGCACAAACAATGTGGGCACAAACAACGTGGGCACAAACAACGTGGGCACAAACAACGTGGGCACAAACAACGTGGGCACAAACAACGTGGGCACAAACAATGTGGGCACAAACAATGTGGGCACAAACAATGTGGGCACAAACAATGTGGGCACAAACAATGTGGGCACAAACAACGTGGGCACAAACAACGTGGGCACAAACAATGTGGGCACAAACAATATGGACTAAAATGTAGGACTAGCCCTATATGCCCAGATCACCTAAGGGCCTAAAAAAGGGGGTTTTTCAGTTTCATATTTCTCTAAATCTCGTCTGGTGCATCACTACATAGTAGTTACATACACATATAATGAAACAATTAAAAAAAAAAAAAAAAACCTGAAATAATTCCACCCAACTACACATCACCTTGTCTCTCGGTACATTGTTCGTCTAATCACCAGAAATTCATGATAATCACGTGACTTACTAGAGTAACTTAACATTTAAAATTAAATTCTTCTGTTTAAACAATTTATGTTTATGCAATGTGAAAACCGAAATCTGTTTCGTGTTGTTTGAGAAGAAAAAAAAACAACAAGTGAAAATACGTTTCAACGTCTCATTTAATAAAATTAAGCACCAAAGGAGAACGAACGAACGAACGAACAAGCAAATGAACGAACGAACTTTATTTTCAAAGGGTCACAAATTGGGCACGCAGATCCGTCTTACATTCGGCCCTTCCAAACACCCGTCTTTCACACTGCATCTGTATTTTATCAATAAGCATGTTATATTCATATGTTAATTTGCATATAGTGAATATCAAAAAAGATAAAAACAAAAAAAGAAAAAGCACAAAAGCATGGCCGTGATAAGGCACTGACTAGATGCTTGTTTACCGTCCCTCAGCTCTTGGGTTCGAATCTGCATCGGAGCCGATATATTATAAATGACAAGCTCTCTTAAGTCCACCCAGTCAACAATAGGTACCAGGAAATATGGTTGTTAATTAAAGTGGCCTACACGATGTTGTTCACACCAACTAGAGGAGAGGAGTCCTGCTACTCATCATTGTCTTTATCCTGAATGCAGTAGCTTTCTTTTGGTTTGAAAAAAAAAAAAACATGATTTTTTTTTTTTTTTTTATAGTTCTACAAACACTGTCATAACAATCATAAAGTACAAATCATAGCGCATTTTTCATTTCTTGCAATTTGGTCTCCCATAGTTCAATGTCAGGATTTATGGAAGCTGAAATGGGCCAGCACTCTGTTCAGATCTTGGTGAAGATAAGGTTATGAATTTCGGATGTTGTTTACACATTCGCCTGAGGCAGATAAGGCTCTGTGGGAGGAAAAAGTTGTATATGCTAGGATAAAAAGATGAGAAACCGTATCTGATATTCACATACATCAATGGCTAATACTACTTTCCGGTAATTGATTTTTATGTGTCAATAAGCGTTAGGTATTTCTCGACGATCTGTTTAATTACACTTAAACCCGCGTTGATTCTAAACACCAGAAAGTCATATATAAAATTGGACCTTTCGTGCCTGTCTGAGCCTGTTTAACAGTTAGTTTGCCTAAGCTCAGCCCCAGTGACTAGGCCATCCTATCAGATGAGTGCAGATCCAAAATCCTTGTTTATTGCTGGGCTGGAATATTATAAATATTGCAACTATGAAATATGGATTCTGCTTTGTTGGGCAAATCGGGGATTTCCTGTGTGGGCTATAACAGCTCGAGGACAGTGTCTTATAAAGTCGATAATGTCTGTATAAAGTAAAATTGGATTGAACTTTTCAATCCTAAGACAAGAGATAAGAGGGGAGGGGCCTGAGAGACACAATCTTGCATGATAACGTTCTCATATTATGAACTGCATTGTCATTTTCTGTAAGCGACGGTGTGATTCTCAAATTATATGTTGCTTGTATTACCTGTTGACTTTGTTGCGACGGCAACAACAGTAGGAACTACTAATTGTATTTTTACCATCACCTCTACTACCCCTGCTGCTGCTGCTGCTGCTGCAATTAATGCTGCTTCTGCTACTCTATTTCTAGAGGTGCATCTTCTGATTTTTTCCTCCTCCTTCCGTTTTTTTTTTTCCTTTTCTTCTCCCCTTCTTATTATCAATATTATCATTATTATTATTATCAGTTTTATTGTTATTATTATTATTATTATTATTATTATTATTATTATTATTATTATTATTATTATTATTATTATTATTATTATTATTATTATTATTATTCATAGTTTACAACTACTTAAAGGTTAAAGTCCAGATGATCGACTTCATTGCATCAGGTTTTATCCCACATGGCTCAGTCTCTATTCGCTAGCCTCTTGCCGTGAACGCTACACAGAGCACCAACTCCATAGCTCCTGTAATTGTGCTGAAGAAGGCAGAAACGACAAAGAAGAAAGATAAGATCAAGACAAGATTAAGAAAAGACCAAAGAGACGGGCAAGAAGACCAGACGGACTGAGAAGAAGACAGAGAGTACAGAAAAAATGACGGAGAAGGGGCAATGAAGACGATGCGAGGAATGTGGAGAAGACATTGTACACTGAAAAAAAAAAACGATGATTATGAAGAAGGTAAGGAATACAGAGAAGAGGATATGGACGGGTAAAAAAAAACAAGGAAGACAGTGAAGAGATATGGACGAAAGAGAATGGTAGGACGACAGAGAAGGGGATATGGACGAAAGAGAATGCAAGGACGACAGAGAAGGGGATATGGACGAAAGAGAATGCAAGGACGACAGAGAAGGGGATATGGACGAAAAAGAAGGCAAGGAAGAAGAGAAGATGATATGGGCGAAAGAGAAGGCAAGGAAGACATAAAAGATGATATGGACGAAAGAGAAGGTAGGAAATACAGAAAAAAGGATATGGACGAAAGAGAAGGTAAGGAAGACAGAGAAGAGGATATGGACGAAAGAGAAGGTAAGGAAGTCAGAGACGAGGATATGGACGAAAGAGAAGGTAAGGAAGTCAGAGAAGAGGATATGGACGAAAGATACGGCAAGAAAAACAGAGAACAGTATATTCATGAAAGAGAAGGCAAGGAAGACAGAGAAGAGAATATGGACGAAAGAGAAGGTAAGGAAGACAGAAAAGAGGATATGGACGAAAGAGAAGGCAAGGGAGACAGAGAAGAGAATATGGACGAAAGAGAAGGTAAGAAAGACAGAAAAGATGATATGGACGAGAGAGAATGCAAGGGAGACAGAGAAGAGAATATGGACGAAAGAGAAGGTAAGGAAGACAGAAAAGAGGATATGGACGAAAGAGAAGGCAAGGGAGACAGAGAAGAGAATATGGACGAAAGAGAAGGTAAGGAAGACTGAGAAGATGATATGGACGAAAGAGAAGGTAAGGAAGACAGAAAAGAGGATATGGACGAAAGAGAAGGTAAGGAAGTCAGAAAAGAGGATATGGGCGAAAGAGAAGGTAAGGAAGACAGAGAAGAGGATATGGACGAAAGAGAAGGTAAGGAAGTCAGAAAAGAGGATATGGACGAAAGAGAAGGTAAGGAAGATAGAGAAGAGGATATGGACGAAAGATAATGCAAGGAAGACTGAAAAGAGGATATGGATGAAAGAGAATGCAAGGAAGACAGAATTGAGGATATGGACGAAAGAGAAGGTAAGGAAGTCAGAAAAGAGGATATGGGCGAAAGAGAAGGTAAGGAAGGCCTAGAAAATGATATGGACGAAAGAGAAGGTAAGGAAGACAAAAAAGAGGATATGGACGAAAGAGAAGGTAAGGAAGAGAAGAGGATATGGACGGAAGAGAATGCAAGGAAGACAGAGAAGATGAAATGGACAAAAGAGAAGGCAAGGAAGAGAGAAAAGAGGATATGGACGAAACAGAAGGTAGGGAAGAGAGAAGAGGACATGGATGAAAGAGAAGCTAAGGAAGTCAGAGAAGATGATATGGACGAAAGAGAAGGTAAGGAAGACAGAAAAGAGGATATGGACGAAAGAGAAGGTAAGGAAGACAGAGAAGAGGATATGGACGAAAGAGAAGGTAAGGAAGACAGAGAAGAGGATATGGACGAAAGAGAAGGTAAGGAAGTCAGAGACGAGGATATGGACGAAAGAGAAGGTAAGGAAGTCAGAGAAGAGGATATGGACAAGGAGACGGCAAGAAAAACAGAGAACAGTATATTCATGAAAGAGAAGGCAAGGGAGACAGAGAAGAGAATATGGACGAAAGAGAAGGTAAGGAAGACAGAAAAGAGGATATGGACGAAAGAGAATGCAAGGGAGACAGAGAAGAGAATATGGACGAAAGAGAAGCTAAGGAAGACAGAAAAGAGGATATGGACGAAAGAGAAGGCAAGGGAGACAGAGAAGAGAATATGGACGAAAGAGAAGGTAAGGACAGAGAAGATGAATGGACGAAAGAGAAGGTAAGGAAGACAGAAAAGAGATAGGACGAAGAGAAGAGGAAGAGAAAAGAGGATATGGGCGAAAGAGAAGGTAAGGAAGACAGAGAAGAGGATATGGACGAAAGAGAAGGTAAGGAAGTCAGAAAAGAGGATATGGACGAAGAGAAGAAAGGAAGAAGACAGAGGATATGACGAAAGATAATGGAAGGAAGAAGAGAAGAGGATAAGGAAGATGAGAAGAGAATGAAAGACAGATGGAGAAAGACGAAGAGAAGGTAAGGAAGACAGAAAGAGAAGGTAAGGAAGGCCTAGAAGACGAATGGAGAAAAAGAAGGTAAGGAAGACAGAAAAGAGGATATGGACGAAAGAGAAGGTAAGGAAGAGAAGAGGATATGGACGGAAGAGAATACAAGGAAGACAGAGAAGATGATATGGACAAAAGAGAAGGCAAGGAAGAGAGAAAAGAGGATATGGACGAAAGAGAAGGTAAGGAAGACAGAAAAGAGGATATGGACGAAAGAGAAGGCAAGGGAGACAGAGAAGAGAATATGAACGAAAGAGAAGGTAAGGAAGACAGAGAAGAAGATATGGACGAAAGAGAAGGTAAGGAAGTCAGAAAAGAGGATATGGACGAAAGAGAAGGTAAGGAAGACAGAGAAGAGGATATGGACGAAAGATAATGCAAGGAAGACTGAGAAGAGGATATGGATGAAAGAGAATGCAAGGAAGACAGAGTAGAGGATATGGACGAAAGAGAAGGTAAGGAAGACAGAAAAGAGGATATGGACGAAAGAGAAGGTAAGGAAGACAGAGAAGAGGATATGGACGAAAGAGAAGGTAAGGAAGACAGAAAAGAGGATATGGACGAAAGAGAAGGCAAGGGAGACAGAGAAGAGAATATGAACGAAAGAGAAGGTAAGGAAGACAGAGAAGAGGATATGGACGAAAGAGAAGGTAAGGAAGTCAGAAAAGAGGATATGGACGAAAGAGAAGGTAAGGAAGACAGAGAAGAGGATATGGACGAAAGATAATGCAAGGAAGACTGAGAAGAGGATATGGATGAAAGAGAATGCAAGGAAGACAGAGTAGAGGATATGGACGAAAGAGAAGGTAAGGAAGTCAGAAAAGAGGATATGGGCGAAAGAGAAGGTAAGGAAGGCCTAGAAGATGATATGGACGAAAGAGAAGGTAAGGAAGACAGAAAAGAGGATATGGACGAAAGAGAAGGTAAGGAAGAGAAGAGGATATGGACGGAAGAGAAGCTAAGGAAGACAGAGAAGATGATATGGACGAAATAGAAGGTAAGGAAGACAGAAAAGAGGATATGGACGAAAGAGAAGGTGAGGAAGACAGAGAAGAGAATATGTACGAAAGAGAAGCTAAGGAAGACAGAAAAGAGGATATGGACGAAAGAGAAGGTGAGGAAGACAGAGAAAAGGATATGGACGAAAGAGAAGTTAAGGAAGACAGAGAAGATGATATGGACGAAAGAGAAGGTAAGGAAGACAGAAAAGAGGATATGGACGAAAGAGAGGGTAAGGAAGACAGAGAAGAGGATATAGACGAAAGAGAATGCAAGGAAGACAGAGAAGATGATATGGACGAAAGAGAAGGTAAGGAAGTCAGAGAAGATGATATGGACGAAAGAGAAGGTAAGGAAGTCAGAGAAGATGATATGGACGAAAGAGAAGGTAAGAAAGGCAGAGAAGTGGATATGGACGAACGAGAAGGTAAGGAAGACAGAGAAGAGGATATGGACGAAAGAGAAGGTAAGGATGTCAGAAAAGATGATATGGACGAAAGAGAAGCTAAGGAAGACAGAGAAGATGATATGGACGAAAGAGAAGGTAAGGAAAACAAAGAAGAGGATATGGACGAAAGAGAAGCTAAGGAAGACAGAGAAGAGGATATGGACGAAAGAGAAGGTAAGAAAGACAGAGAAGAGGATATGGACGAAAGAGAAGGTAAGAAAGACAGAGAAGAGGATATGGACGAAAGAGAAGCTAAGGAAGACAGAGAGAATGATATGGACGAAAGAGAAGGTAAGGAAGACAGAGAAGAGGATATGGGCGAAAGAGAAGCTAAGGAAGACAGAGAAGATAATATGGACGAAAGAGAAGGTAAGGAAAACAGAGAAGAGGATATGGACGAAAGAGAAGGCAAGGAATACGGAGAAAAAGTCATGGACGAAACAAAATGCAAAAATGATGAGGGTGGGAAAAAAGGTAAAATAA